ACCCACAACACCCAAAAACCCCAACATCACCCAAACCCCCATCACCCACAACCCCCAACCCACATCACCCACCCCCCACAATTTTTTTTTCTCGTTTTAACAAATTTTCATCAGAAAGTCACAACAACAACAACCCAACTTATAATCATTTTTTTCGGTATCTCTAGTTCGACAAAAACACCCACAACCACATCACTCACAACTCACAACCCAAACACCCTCAACCCACAATTTTTTTCACGTTGTAACTAATTTCATTAGAAAAAGTCACATCAACAACCCACTTATAACATCTTTTTGGGTATCTCTAGTTCGACAACATTACCCACAACCCACAACACCCACAACCCACAATTTTTTCTCGTTTTAACCAATTTCATCAGAAAAAGTCACAACAACAAGACACTTATAACGTCTTTTCGGTATCTCTAGTTCGACAACAACACCCACAACACCCACATCTCACAACACCCACATCCCACAATTTTTTCTCGTTTTAACTAATTTCATCAGAAAAAGTCACATCAACAACCCACAACTTATAACCACTTTTCAGCATCTCTAGTTCGACAACAACACCCACAACCCACAACACATCCCACAACACCCACATCCCACATCCCACAACACCCACATCCCACATCACCCACACTCCCACAACAACTACCCACAACTTATTACCACTTTTTCGGTATCTATAGTTCGACAACAACACCCACATCCCACAACCCCCACAACACCCACACCCCACAATTTTTTTTCTCGTTTTATCTAATTTCATCAGAAAGTCACAACAACCCACTTATAATCACTTTTTCAGCATCTCTAGTTCGACAACAACACCCACAACCCACAACACCCACACCCCACAACACCTCACAACCCACAATTTTTTCTCGTTTTAACTAATTTCATCAGAAAAAGTCACAACAACAACCCACTTATAACATCTTTTTCAGCACCTCTAGTTCGACAACAATACCCACAACCCTCATCACCTACCAATTTATTCACAATTTATTCGATACAAATTTTTCCCCCTTCTTTTTATTGAATCTTAAATGTAATACACATTCCTCTTTACATTACTAAAATTCTAATATAATCCTCTCCATACCCATCTCCTTGTATCCACATAAATTGATATTATACTCACAACAACTAATCTCTACCCAACTATTGCGACATGTTTCAACACCCTCCATTCTTTTCCAATATATCATAACTTTTCAATTCTATAATTTTTTTTTTTAAATATTCACACATTACCTTTATTTTCAGTAAAAAATCCCCATATTTCTTTAAATTTCTAATACAACCCTCCCCATACCCCTCTCCATCTCACCCGCATTTCTTCACACCACTCACCCATCTCCCAACACACCTCTTCTGAACACACACAAAAATCACTTTTTCACATCCACAAATGATCTCATCACCCATCTCAAATCCACTAAAACACTGAAAACCAAGATATTCACAAAACTCTATGACCACCTAACACACACACACACACACACACACACACACACACACACACACACACACACACACAAAACACACACACACACACACACTCACACACACACACACACACACCTCACTTTACTTTGAACACCTTCAAAACACTCTCATACATCATTTGAGACCACCTTTTCTCAATATCTCTCATCCACAACCTTTATCATCTCACTACAGAACAACCCAAGATTACTTCGAACACTCTCATAAATCATTGAATACTCACATAAACACCTTTGAACATTTCAAACAACACTGAAGCACTTCCAAAATATCATTTTGATTACTCCCAAATAAGATTTATCATCTCTAATTTATCTACACTTACACATTTCATTAACTGAAATTACAACACATCCACCATACTACTCCCTCAGTCTCCAGACTTTACAACATTAACACAAAAACTAACTCAGACACTTATGACATGAGACATTTTACCAAAACTAACACAAACACATATCTGTTATATCTCCAATATCTAAGATCACCACAATCAAGACGTTTGCCAAATTCTATAACCCCACCATAAGATCACACATTTTTTTTGTACACATTCTCTTAAAACATCATCATAACGAAGATCACTAAAACTATCTATACTTTTACTAAGATCACATAACATTTTGTCTTCTCTAACTCACCCACCAATTTACATTCTCATTCACACTTACACATTTCATTAACCGAAATTACATCTCATCCACCAAACTCCTCCCTCATGTCTCCAGACTTTACAACATTAGCACAAAAAAAAGTATAGATAGTTTTAGTGATCTTCGTTATGATGATGTTTTAAGAGAATGTGTACAAAAATGTGTGATCTTAGTGGTGGGGTTATAGAATTTGGCAAACGTCTTGATTGTGGTGATCTTAGATATTGGAGATATAACAGATATGTGTTTGTGTTAGTTTTGGTAAAATGTCTCATGTCATAAGTGTCTGAGTTAGTTTTTGTGTTAATGTTGTAAAGTCTGGAGACTGAGGGAGTAGTATGGTGGATGTGTTGTAATTTCAGTTAATGAAATGTGTAAGTGTAGATAAATTAGAGATGATAAATCTTATTTGGGAGTAATCAAAATGATATTTTGGAAGTGCTTCAGTGTTGTTTGGAAATGTTCAAAGGTGTTTATGTGAGTATTCAAATGATTTATGAGAGTGTTCGAAGTAATCTTGGGGTTGTTCTGTAGTGAGATGATAAAGGTTGTGATGAGAGATATATGAGAAAAGGTGGTCTCAAATGATGTATGAGAGTGTTTTGAAGGTGTTCAAAGTAAAGTGAGGTGTGTGTGTGTGTGTGTGTGATGTGTGTGTGTGTGTGTGTGTTGTGTGTGTGTGTGTGTGTGTGTGTGTGTGTGTGTGTGTGTGTGTGTGTGTGTGTGTGTGTGTGTGTGTGTGTGTGTGTGTGTGTGTTAGGTGGTCATAGAGTTTGTTGAATATCTTGGTTACAGTGATTTTAGGGATTTGGATGGATGATGAGATGCATTTGTGGATGTGAATGTGATTTTTGTGTGTGTTCAGAAGAGGTGCGTTGGGAGATGGGTGAGTGGATGTTGGAAGAAATGCGGTGTGAGATGGGAGGGGTATGGAGGGGTTGTATTAGAAATTTAATGAAATATGGGGAGATTTTACTGAAAATAAAGGTAATGTGTGAATATTTTAAAAAAAATTATAGAATTGAAAGTTATGATTATATTGGAAAAGAATGGAGGGTGTTGAAACATGTCGCAATAGTTGGGTAGTGAGATTAGTTGTTGTGAGTATAATATCAATTTATGTGGATACAAGGAGATGGGTATGGAGAGGATTTTATTGAATTTTAGTAATGTAAAGAGTGAATGTGTTATAACATTTAAGATTCAATAAAAGAAGGGGGAAAAATTTGTATCGAATAAATTGTGAATAAATTGGTAGGTGATGAGGGTTGTGGGTATTGTTGTCGAACTAGAGGTGCTGAAAAAGATGTTATAAGTGGGTTGTTGTTGTGACTTTTTCTGATGAAATTAGTTAAAACGAGAAAAAATTGTGGGTTGTGGGGTGTTGTGGGGTAAGGGCGTTGTGGGTGTTGTGGGGTTGTGGGTGTTGTTGTCGAACTAGAGATGCTGAAAAAGTGATTATAAGTGGGTTGTTGTGACTTTCTGATGAAATTAGATAAACGAGAAAAAAAATTGTTGGGGTGTGGGTTTGTGGGGGTTGTGGGATATGGGTGTTGTTGTCGAACTAGAGATACCGAAAAAGTGGTTATAAGT